TCTCAGATCCAACAAGAAAAAAGCGGCCCCAAATTGCATTTGAAAATGGTGCACGACATGAAAGAAACATTTGTCTAAAGAGAATTTAAAATGATCAGCTTCTAACTAGATGAGAAATATTCTTTCAAGTATCCCATCCCAGAACAATAAGAGAAAGTCTTACAGAGAATGGTAATCAGAATCATGGAGTGATTTGTGACAGAGCAGAAGGAGCCTTAGGAATCATCATGTTAACATCATTTTGGTAATATCACATTGCTAACATCATTTTACAAATGAAGAAGGTGGAATCTAAAAAGGTACTCTTCATACTTGCAGAAAACCGGCCTTCATTGGTCCTCCAGTGCAGTGGAGCTGAAGATTCTACAGCAGCTTCAGGGGGAAATACCAAGGTTTGAAAACTCTTTAGTGGCCCAAAGTTGGAACAAGAGCCCTACTTTCCAGACCTCGAGACCAGAAGACTGGATTTGAAGCTCTATGAAAAATTTCACTTTGTCAACCAGTTGGAGGACAATTGGATGCTCAATGGAGGTATAGTAAAGTGTTGTTTCTGACCAAATATTCCCATCCTCAATGAAGTTATAGCAAACCATACTCCTGCCCTAAACAAGTTTAGTATCCAAGAGTCGTTTTTCAACTTTACTTCCCCCAAAACCCCAAGGTGATTCTCAGAGGCTATCACTGCTATTAAAAATCCAAGGTTTCAGCAAAAGAAGCCCCATTAGCTGACAGCAGAATTGCAATACTGGATTATTTTTGCCACCCTTCTCCCCAGGCCATCACAGTGCCAGGCTCCTGTCAGTTTAATTGGGAACCACTGATATAGACAAATCATCAATGTCACAGGAGTTCATAATAAATTAACTGTATTGGTCAGGCGCAGTGGCTCATGCCTGTAATCCCAGCACTTTGGGAAGTTGAAGTGGGCAGATCACCTGAGGCAAGGAGTTCAAGACCAGTCTGGACAACATGGTGAAACCCTGTCTACTAAAAAAATTTTAAAAATTAGCTGGATATGGTGGCATGTGCCCGTAATCCCAGCTATTTGGGAGGCTGAGGTAGGAGAATCGCTTGAACCCTGGAGGCGGAGGTTGCAGTTAGCTGAGATCAAGATCTAGTCACTGCACTCTAGCCTGGGGGACAGAGCAAGGCTCCATCTCCAAAAAAAGAAAAAGTAAAGGAAAAGAAATGGACTGTATTGTCTCTGGAAGAGGAGCTAGATCAGATCTAGCTCATTATTTGCCATAAATAATTGGGGCACAGGCTATATGGTTGAAGCGCTGCATCTCACTTGGATCATGTTCTATGCATCTTATTTTAGACATTCTGATATCTGTATTTAGAACCATCCAATATCTGTCACTACCACTCCCACAGGACACTGGGAGGAGAGCTGAATCTTTATTTGTTTTGAACAGTTGAACACCTAGCACACACCACAACAAACAGTCTTGGCCAAGCACACCACATCATGCAAGTTGGTGAAGGCCCTTCTGGGACAGAAAGGGTGGTGCAGGTGCATAAGGCTGGATTCTGGCACAAAGGCTCTACCAGGAAGGGACCACATACGTTCTCTGTCGGGTGAGCACTTTGCCTTGAGGTTTGGTGAGTTGCAGTGTTGTGCAGCTAAGGCTCTCACCATTAAGCTGCCTCCTAGCAAATTTAAAATCACTATGACACAGATACCTGGGCAAAAGGAAATTAACTAAGATCCTGCACTGATGTTCCCTTCGGAGCTCATACCACCCTCTAAGAAGAGCCACATATCACTCTGTGAGAGGGCAGACACGGCTGTAGGAGCTGTCCTAGACCTGCAGTGATGAAGAAGGACTCTACTATCTTAACATCAACTGTATTTCTCATGTCAGTATTGTCTCCCAATTTTAACATGACTGAATTGTCAAAGGATTTCTTTTCTTTCTTTTTTTTTTTTTTTTTTTTTGCCTTGCCTACAAAATGACTCAAGTCCTCTCCTTTTCTGGTTTCCATTATATTCCATTGTGTGGCCCTGCACAGAGTCAACCTTCCTTTCAAGATTTTGCATTTCTATGTAATATTACTCAATAGCTATAGTGAATAAACATATGTTTAGGCACTTTGAAAAACATTTTTAAATTAAAATGCCTTATGTCAATCACAGGCAGGCAGTATCCAGCATGTGCATGAAGCTGAGGGTGTGGATTATGTATTCTGGGGAAAACATCCGTGCAGTCATTGTGCATGCTCCATGGCCACTTTTCAAGGCGAAATGTCTCTGCCACTAAAATAACATTTTTATTCAGTCAAGACACTAAAAGCAATTAGAGGCCAGTGTTGATTGATCACTTGCCAATGTTCAATTTTTAAATCAAAGTTGTTTTGGACTTACTATTGTATGAGCTCCCCAAACATCCATAGTCACTTTATTTGCATTTTACATGCATTCAAAATAACTACTTACTTTCTCCCTTTAAAAAAATGATTGAAGAAACATTTGCCTCAAGATGAAAAACATTACACTGCAAAGCAATCTGTTATAGCGGAATGATGGTTCCCTTGATATAATGGTTCTTAATGAAAATTGCGAGGAATTTTCTACTCTATAAGCTTCAAGAGGCTTGGGTGTGGAGGACATGGGTCCCCCACTGCAGCAATAAGAAAAACACAGGCCTTCCAGATATGCCCATCTTGAGAGGTGATGACATGTGCTTGTTCTTGAGTCCTCAAAGTTTGTTCCCTAATTATTTTAGATATTCTCTCCTTAGTAATTGTTTTGAATGTTCTCCTCCCTCTGAAATAAGAGGAAAAGTCACTTTCATACAAAATACACAGTGTTGCAAAAGGATAGGACTATAGCAATCTGCCAACAATTAGAGACTGAACCACGTAAACCAAAAAGCTCAAAGCGTATTAGTCATTATTGACATTATTTTTAAAGTTTTCAAGTGCAAGCACTAATTAAAAGGATAAGATTCTAACTATTTTTTTAATGAACAAGTGTAACTCTTTATTAAGATAGAATTGTTCTTATTCAAGAAATAGATTAAAATGGTTAAGTACAATTAAATGGCTCCAAAAGTCTTACAGTGAAAACAACAGTCCTGCTAGTTGTTCTTTCCAGAGGCAAACACTTTTCATTCTCTTAATTCTTCCTTCTGTTAGTTACCTTCATGGGGTTTTCCAAATTGTTACTTTTTAGTTTTTCAAGTGAATGCATATATTAATACGTAAAAATTTAAAAAGCCTCTTCAGTTTATAATGCATCCTAACAGTCCCCTGCCCCATCCCTCCTAATTCTCCAGAGCAATGACTTTTAACTCTTCCAGCAATGTCCTCTGTTTTTTTCCTCACATAACTACTTAGTCATTTCTTGATTATTTTATACATTATAGAGTGATCTCTGGATATGATAGGTGAGGATTTAGCTCTTACACCATCACTATCTTCACTTCCTCCCATATTGTCCCAAAGTGGTTACCATATTTTGGGGCTAAGCAGTCACCACATCATTATGACTGTGTATGTATTGCTCCTTGTTGAGAAAAACAGCATATTATGCTCTTCCTATCCTGTACTTCTTTCTGCCCTAGAATTAATGATTGCCTAACCAACCCTTCCCCCTTATTTTTTTACTTTTGCTTTATCTTCAATGAACTTCTTTCCAAATGCCCCAAATTTGGCAATAACTTATTATTTTTAAGAGAAGGGATCTCACTAAGGTAGCCAGGCTTGTCTGGAACTCTTGGGCTCAAGCCATCCTCTTGCTGAGCCTCCTGAGTAGCTGGGACTACAGGCATGGGCCATTCCACCCAGCTAACCTATTAATATTTTTACTGTTTCTTTTTAAAGTCAGCTCCATAGCTGGAATATTGCCTGTGTTGGATCCTATTTGCTGGATCTATATCATTCTCTGGTGTGTGTACTCCTTCACTTTCTGGAGTATTTTCTCCAATAGCTTCCCAAAAAAGGGTACATGGAGGTAACCCCTGAGTCTTTGCTTGTCTAAAAATGTATTTTACCTTCACCCTTGCTTATTTGGGTGAATATAGATTTATCAGTTGAAAATAACTTTCTGGAATTCTGAAGGCACGGTTCCATTGTTTTCAGATTCCTTTTCAAGACAAGGTCTCTTCTGTCACCCAGGCTGGAGTGCAGTGGCACAATTACGACTCACTGCAGCCTTGGACTCATGGGCTCAACTGATCCTTCCATCTCAGCTCCCTGAGTAGATGGGAATACAGGTGTGCGCCACAATGCCCAGCTAATTTTTGTGTTTTTTGTAGAGACAGGGCCCCGCCATGCTGCCCAAGCTGGTCTCAAGTGATCCATCTGCCTTGGCCTCCCAAAGTGCTAGGATTACAGGTGCGAGCCACTGTGCCCAGCTAGTTTTTCTTTTATTCTCTCTCTACTTCCTTCATTTCTCAAAGGCATCTCAAACTCAATGGGCCCAAAACCAAAGTCAAACTCCATCAGAATATCCTGCTACTTACAACTTTAAAATATATCTTAAATCACAATTTCTTACTACATGCAACCCTTTGGTTCAAGCAACCATCATCCCTCACTTGAACTTAGAATTGGTTTTCCTGCTTCTGTATTTTTTTAAATTATAGAATATTTCAAATAAACCATGTGTGGTTTTATTCTTTTTACTACACAAAAAGAATGAAGATGTGCCAGGTGTGGTGGCTCATGCCCATAATCCTAGCACTTTGGGAAGCTGAGGTGGGCGAATCACTTGAGGTCAGGAGTTTGAGACCAGCCTTACCAACATGGTGAAATCCCATCTCTACCAAAAACACAAAATACAAAAATTTATTCGGGCATGGTGGCGGGCACCTAGTCCCAGCTACTTGGGAGCCTGAGGCAGGAGAATTGCTTGAATTTGGGAAGGCGGAGGTTGCAGTGAGCTGAGATTGCACCACTGCACTCCAGCCTGGGCAACAAGAGCGAAACTGTCTAAAATATATATATATGTGTGTGTGTGTGTGTGTGTGTGTGTGTGTGTGTGTATGGAGCACTTACATACTTAAACATGGAATTGCTTTAAGTGTTTGGCATTCGCTGTTCCCGTGCATGCCATCAGCTTCTTACTGCAAACACCTGGGACTTACTATAGAGCAGCTGGAGTACGTTCCGCCCACACACAGGACCGGGAGCTGACAACCAAGGAGAGAGAGGAATCAATACTCTAGTTTTCTCCCCTCCATTTCCCTGTATCTCAGCAATATGGAACTTGTTACCAGTGAGAACCTGCTCGCTGACTTTAAACTGGTTTTCTTACCTTCTCAGTTCAGTTTTTCCATACCTTAACCGATGGTTTCTGGTATGACCGAGCAAATAAACTGCTTTCACTGAAATTTCAGTCTTGGAATCTACTTTGGGTTCCCCAATCTAAGACAGAAACATACTCATTTTCCCATCACTGGACTTCCAGGTTGTTTTCAATTTTTCATTGTTACAAACAAGGCTGCAACATTTATCTACAAACCTCTGGATATACACGTAGGAAGCTTTTGGTATTTCCACTAGCGAAACTGCTCAGTTGAAGGGTATGTGGATCTTCACCTTTAATAAATATTACCAACATCTGAAAAGCCCGACAATGTCAAGGACTGGCAAGAGTGTCACATGCGATGAGTGTGGAAAGGCAGCTCACTGTAGCAGGTGCTGGGGACTCAGTCGGGGTCTTGGAGAAGCACTTATTTATAGCAAGAATGTTTCATAAGTGGTATCTGATAGAGTCAAGTGGGGAATAAAAAGTGGCTTAGAAATAATTATAGATCTAAAGTCAACAAAATACTTTTTTTCTAATGTAAAAATACATACTTTTTTGAGAGGGAGGGGGAACAATTTAAACCAGAAAACACCTTCATATTAATCATTCTTCTCATACACTTCAAATTTGTACTTAATGCCTTTCTCCTCCTGGACATCAGAGAGAACACCTAGGTATTCTGGTAGAAGTTTATATTTCTCCAAATCAACTTCTGGAAGAAAGGTGCCACTTTCAAAGTCTTGCATGATCCTTGTCACAAATAGTTTAAGATGGCCTGGGTGATTCATGGCTTCCTTATAAACAGAACTGCCACCAACTATCCAAATCATGTCTACTTTATTTACTAATTCTGGTAGTTCAGTAAGTTTTAAGGCATCATCCAGACTTCTGGCAAGAAAATGAGCTCCTTGTGGAGGTTCCTTGAGTTCTCTGCTGAGAACTAAATTAATTCTACCCTTTAAAGGTCAATTCTTCTCAGGAATGGAGAACCAAGTCTTCTTACCCATAATCACCAGATTCTGTTTACCTTCTACTGAAGAGGTTGTGGTCATTCTCTGGAAATATCTGAATTCATTCCTGAGCCGCGGCCAGGGCAGGTCCCCGTTCTTGCCGATGCCCATGTTCTGGGACACAGCGACGATGCAGTTCAGTGAACGAACCATGACAGCAGCTGGAGCACCTCCGAGCCCGCTCATTAAAACAGAACACGCGGTCAAGATTGGTGCAAAATTGTCAGATTCTAACCATTTAATTAAGTTTGATGAATTATAGAATTTGTGAGAATAGTAAGCAAATATTTGCCTGGGTTGCATCGTCAAAGGCATCAGATGAAGAGTTATTTCAATTTAAGGCATGTTTCTCAATAAATGCTTCATTTGCCCAAGCCAGAACTTTCAATTCTTATCCAATGTTATATATAGTTGTCTAGATGAATCTTTGAATTACTACAAAACTATTAATAACTGTTCACAATGCACATTGGATATCTACCTTGTACCTAAAGGCCATGATAATGATGGTAGAAATAAAAATGAATGAAATGGTCCCACATTCAAAGACGTACTATGCAGTAAAGGAAACAGATGTAAAACAAGCAAACACCATACAGTGTACAAATCTTACTTGTATCTGTACAAAAATAGCCCAGAGGAAGGAAAGACAATTTTTTTTTTCTGTAGACGTCAAGGAAAAGGTAAACCTAAGCAGAATCTTTTTTTTTTTTTTTTTGAGATGGAGTCTTGCTGTGTTGCCAGGCTGGAGTGCAGTGGTGCGATCTCGGCTCACTACAACGTCCGCCTCCTGGGTTCAAGCAATTCTCCTGCCTCAGCCTCATGAGTAGCTGGGATTACAGGCACGCAGCAATTTTTGTGTTTTTAATAGAGATGGGGTTTCACCATGTTGGCCAGGAGGGTCTTGATCTCCTGACCTCGTGATCCACCCACCTTGGCCTCCCAAAGTGCTGGGATTACAGGCATGAGCAAATCTTAAAATATTAATAGAAGCATGCTAAGAGTCACAAAAGGAAGATGATTTGTACACAGGAAATAATATTTAGGAGAGCATTAAAGAATGAAACACCAGAGAGAGAAAAAGGGAAGACAGAGATATAAAACTTCAAACAGCTTTGTGTAGTTAGAACGCAGGCAGCAAGAAGAGGGAGATGAGGCTGGCCATGCTGTCAGGAACTAAATCATGCAAAGCCTTTTGTGCAATACAAAGAAACTTGGCTTTCATTCTGTGGGCAATGGTGAACCATGAAAAAAGTTTGTGATTTAAAAAAGATTACTCTAGAGGCACTTTGGAGGCTGGATTAGGGATTTCAAGTGAGAGAGATTAGAATCAGGAAAGCTCTATGGGTGGTCATTATATAGTCCAAATGAAAGATAATGTGGATCTTAACTAGGGAAGTGAAGAGAGTGAATAAAATAAATATGAGAACTACTAGAAAGGAAGACTTGATTGATTGAATTTGGAGTCAGAAAGAGGCATGGAAGACTTTGAGCCTCAGCAAAGAACCTCGGTATAGCATTTAAGGAAGGGTGGCGTTCACAAATGCAGAGGTTAGAGGCAGTCTTGAAATTGTTTTTAATTACTCATTAGCAGAAATGATCATTGTTCTCAACTCATACTCAGATTCCAGAGATAGGGAAGCGGCATGTTCCATCATACACCACCGCACTTGGCAGATTCCTGGGAAAACAATCAGTAACTCCCCTGTAGGCCCTATGAGAACAGCTCAGAAGCTATAGTCAACAGAGTTGGGCCAGAGCTGTCCCTACCTAAAACAACCAGTAGGGATGAAAAAAATTCAGTAAGTCGTTTGGTTGTTTGGTCTACATGACACTGCCCCCTACTATCTCTGAACCTGAAAGGAAGTCCTACATGCACACAAGCACACACAGAGACACACACAAACACATCAGAAGAACCAGAGGAGTATTACCACGGATATAATTGGATATTTTGACTGTAAATGCCATGTCCATGGAAACGAAGATGATCTCAGTACTGGGGAACCTACTCATCTCAAAAGCAAACATTTGTTTCAGATATGTTCTGAAATGCCAGTATTTGTTAGAGGAGAATTTGCTTCTGGATATTTCTGTAATTTCTGCCTTTGCTGCTGTTGCTGTTGTTCCAAAAATCTTAGGCTTTTGCAATACAATTATTCCCTGAAAATAAGAAGATGGATACCTAGCTATGACCCAGGTATTGTAATGAGTTATACATAACTTACCTCATTTAATCCCCACGATGACCTACAGATATATACTGACACTATCCTTTTTTTCTTTTTTTTTTTTTTTGAGACGGAGTCTCGCTGTGTTGCCCAGGTGGAGTGCAGTGGCACGATCTCGGCTCACTGCAAGCTCTGCCTCCCGGGTTCATGCCATTCTCCTGCCTCAGCCTCCCAAGTAGCTGGGACTACAGGAACCCACCACCATGCCCGGCTAATTTTTTGTATATTTAGTAGAGACGGGGTTTCACCGTGTTAGCCAAGATGCTCTTGATCTCCTGACCTCGTGATCTGCCTGCCTCAGCCTCCCAAAGTGCTGGGATTACAGGCGTGAGCCACCACGCCTGGCCTATCCTAAATTTCTAGATAAAGAAACAGAAGCACAGAGAGTTTAAATGACTTGCCCAAGGTCACACAGATAGTAAATGTACAGACAGGGTTCAACCCCAAGGAGTCTGGCTGCTTGTCCAAAAGATCTTATCCAAATGCACTTTCCATGTTCAATTTATTTGGATTTACCATTGGACCATATTTCCTTGGACACAAGATTACAACTCAACCATTTCAATTATTGCCATCACTTTGTCATTTACAAGCTCAAAGTGCAAATCTGTAGTCACATGATCCCATGCAAATTTCAGAAAGCCTAAAATGATGAGATCACACACCCAGGCTGATGACTTTACATTGAGATCCAGCTAAACTGCATGAATTATCAAGACTAAAATTAGGACTCTTACATCTTATCTAACACCTGCCTCTCTCTGTGCTAAAATATATTATAATTAGCTGCTTTTCCTGGGAGAAATTGTAAAACTGAACGCAATTAAACAAAAGGAGAGACAGCAGATTGTACAGCAAAACAAAACAAAACAAAAAGTACTTAGAAAGTCAAGATGGATGCATATTCAAAGGTAGCAATTTCAGAGGCAAGGCAGACTTTTCTTATTTTGCAGTAATGTTCTGAATGGCAAAGAGCATGGCCTTTGGCACATGCTAGGGACTCCATATTTGTTCACTGCTACGCACACTGGGATTGAATTAGGACTTTGGCAGGGCAACCATTCTCTGGCTTTGGTTGCACATTCATTGAGGACCCCAATAAGCAGGTGATCTATGCCATCCAGTCCTCACACCCAAACAGCCCAGTGGAAAGATCCCTCAAGTGCCATGTGTGAGTCCTGGATGCTTGTAGAGGCTCTTGTACTAGCTAAAGTTGTGGGATGTGGTTCCAGTTGCTCGACTTCTCTTGGTATAGCTTTTCTCGCACGGAAATGACAGGAAAATGATCCCCGCCCTATTTTCCTCAGGAGAATACAGTAAGACTCAGAAAGGGCTAAAAACAAATAGGCTACTTTATTCAAGTTTTGCTAATGAAATGCCTAGAATACAACCATTTGTAGAAATAGGTTCCCAAGTGGTTGAAAAGGCAATGAGCAAAATTCTAGGGGAAGACCTCATTACTTAAGACAAAGACATCACTTTTCCCAAACAGGATGTAGGAACTGCCACTGTACAAAAGGTAGGTCAAAAATAAAACCCACCAACAAACCAACCAACCCATGGTCCAGTCACTAACCATGAAAAGGTTTGTAAGTGCATCAGAGGAGATTAATCCTTAACTGGAGAAAAATAATAATCAAGGTATATGTGTACCACAAAGCATTGTAGATGGGAAAAAGAGACCTTGGGAAGGAGAAACAGGAAGGAGAAACAGGAAGAAGAAAAGTAAAACTAAGTGTTAGTCTCATACTACAACATGTCAGCCCAAGATACTATGGGCTGTTTTATTGAACAGTGCAAAGCTGCTTTAATTTAGCAGTGTTTATTTGGAAAGGTTTGCTATTTGGAAATGTGCAGTATACCACATTTGCTGATGTGTTTTTTGGCTGTACCTGGAGGTGCGCTGTAGGCTGACGAATGTCCAGGTGTGAAAATTCACATTAGCCATATATATGCACTGTGGATTTATTTCTTCGCACTTTTCCTGCCCCCCTAATTGAAATAGTAAATTGACTATACTCAAAGCTTGACTAGTCCCCCAGACGTTAGTGTTACAAATTAATGATTAGAAATATAACTCCCTGTATACCTCTTTCTGCCATCGCATCTTTCAAATGCAGAGTCAGTATGGAATAAGAATCAGTGAAATGTAACCTGACATTGAACTTGAAACCAAACACATTGACAAAACAAAAGAACACAAGCAGAAAAAAAAAAGAAAGGGGAATTTTGAAAATCATCTTCCTAAGGCATTCTGAATCTGCAACCATCTATTTTTCCAGATTAACAAATCTTGGTCGCTTCTAGGTGTTTTGAACTAGATTACTGACTGGCCATCTGTGGCAGGCCCACTCCTGGATGTCATGCCCCTGTTAATGAAATTTGGGCATGCGCTCATAAACAGACCTGGTGAATGGTAGATGTCAGCCATTGCGCGATGGGCAATCATCAATCATCCATTGTCAGTTATTTCTGTCCCAGTGAGTAAGCCTTTATTTAAAGCATAAAGTAAGAATGTTGCCAGACCACAGGAACAAGCCCTGAGCTGTTTGCAGGTGCTGCTATTCACAGCTGCCAATTAAACCCCTGACATTTCCATACTGGCCATGAGGCACAGCATATGCTTTTGACATACCAATTCTTTAAAAAAAAAAATCACCAATTTCAGATTATCAATACGTGCCTTTTTCTTTTTCCATGGTTACTACATTAAACTTTTTAAAATAGGAGGAAGGAGAATCAGAAAAATTTCTAGTGAACTGAATTATTAAGATCTGTACATAATATTCTTTCTTGTAGGAAAATGGGAAAATGGCTGGCATTTCTGATGTGGGAATTCTTCCCTGATGCCTAAATCTACAAAGCAAAGTCTCCTATCAGGACTTTAACATGAAAAAATATTTGTCTTGCCTTTTTACTTATATTTTTTCCTTTTTGATTCTGAAATAGTAATACTATTTTAATGTAATCCGGTACCATTAAAACTAGATATTGCAATTTTGATTATGATTCTGTGTCTTTCATTGAGATGCAAAATGATTATAGTTTGCAAGTGTGCCTTGTATTTAAATAATTTCATGAAATTTG